GATGAATGCTAATCAAAATAGATAATCTTCAATATTCATGATATTCATGGAATCGATGTACTGACACTGATTCTCAGTCCGTGCGCGACGCACTCATTTCTCATCATTTGCCACGTATTAAATCAAAAAAGCATTAAGTATGATCTCGTCAACATGCATTTCAGGAACATCTTTAGAATATCTTTATCATTTTGAGTACTTATCTTTAGAATATCTTTAGAATATCATTGAGTATCTTTTGGAATGCTTTTGAACGCTTTTGAATGGTTTTGGATGCTTTGGAATGTATTAATGTAATAAATGTGAAAACGTAATAAACGTAATAAAAAGTGATAAACGTAATAAACGTAATAAAATTGTAATAAATGTAATAAATGAAATAAATGTAATAAATGTAATAAATATAATAAATGTAATAATGTAATTTTAACGTAGTAAATGTAATAAACGTAACAATGTAATTAACGTACGTAGTAAATGTAACAATGTAATAATGTAATAATGTAATAATGTACTAAATGTAATAAATGTAATAAAAGTAATAAACGTGATATTACTCAAATTGAACACAATTTCGAAAGCATTCAACGTAAATTTGATGAAATACAGAAATGTAAAAGGATTATTGTGATAATGAAAGTAATTATCTCCGTAGTTCGGAGATAAAAATTTCGAAATACTAAAAAAAAAATCAAACCTTCCTTGTACACTAAGATTTTTACTAGATTTTTTTTTTTGAAAAGATAAAGAAGTAACACAAATAATAAATAAGATCACAAATTTGTACTACGCTCAAAGTTTTCCCGATATTTAACATTCATTACGTATTTTTTTTTTTTTTGTGAGACAATTCACCATGACAATTCTGAAATTATCAGACAAATAAGGAAATAGATTAAAAAGTAGTTAGAACACAACGACGCCTATTTTTACTAAAACAGGAAATTATTCAAGTATCCCTTGTTTCAATTACCAATTCATTTTACCGGATTTTTCTTTGTTGATAATAATTTTTTAAAGTGAATAAGTCATCTCATTTTTAACCTAACCTAGACTTGATCGTGACCATTAAGAAAAAAAAACTCCTTGTTTGAAAACAGGCTTTAATGATACGTGACACCTTGATTACCAACATGAAATAAGGTAATACGAATTATCATTTAAATTCTCGAAGCCTCTTTCGCAATTACAGTCAATGAATTTGGGAAATTTCATTCTAGGAGATCAATTCCAAAATAAAACAAATTTCCAAGATAGTCAATGACCATTTTACTTGTGATTAAAGAAATTGAATAGTAAGTTTCATGTTTCTTGACAAGTGAAAAAGTAGTAACTGTGCCATATTGAAATTGGCTGTTGACATTAGCATTGACATTGGCAGTGTTATTTTTTTTTTCAATATCATTATTAAAATATTATTAGTACATTCGAGATTTTCTTAATTAAAAAAAAATTGATATTTAAATATGTTGATATCGTAATACAGTAAGATAAAACTGATTGAAACCTGATTTTTAATGCAAGATAATTTTGGGCTTGTCATTTAAATTAAGTAAAAATGCATAACTTATGTACTTACGTATACTGTAACGTATCGGTATAGCCATGTACTCCAAAAAAACTTAATTGCGATTGCCAATTTATTTAAATAAATCAATTTTATAAAAAGATGTAATATACAATATATATATATATATATATATATATATAAATATATAAATATATATATATATACATAATTATAAATTACGTGTTTTTTCGTATTTTCAAATTTTTTTTCTAGGCAAATTTTAAAGCATATGGTTGTACGATACCTTTTTTTAAACTGATGTGTGAGAATAAATTTTAATACTGGTATATCAAAAATTACTTGTTAAGAACTAGTGGGGTGACCTTTTTTTTTTTTTAAATCCTTTCTATTATAATTTGCCCCAGCATTCGGTAAGAGTTTATCTATACTTGAATTTTAAAGGTGATATGCATATAAGTTTGCATGTAAACATAAATAAAACCTTTGAAGGGTTCTCGGGCTAATTGACTTTACCCAAATTTAGTTTGGTTAATAATTTCTTTTTGATTTGAATTTTATTTATTTAGAAAAAAAACCACATCACTTAACAAAAACATCACCTTAAGTATATAAATATTTTGCAGGGTTCATTTTGTTTATATTATTATTATTATTTTTAACCCGTCAGATCGGAGACGGGGAAAAGTAAGGGTATTGTATACGCGCGAAGAGATATGGTGGTATCGTGTGATCAAAAATAACACGTTTTTAAATAAAGAATTCTATTAATTATCATATTAGAATATTTTTACTGAATCACTAATTTTAGTAACGCATTCACTTATAAAAAAAGTATTCTGATAGTAGATATCAGATATTTAAAAAAGGATTTAAAAAGGATTTCAACAAGAGAGTTACACGAAGGGTAGAAATTATTTGAGAATCCTTTGAAAGATTGATACGTATATTCAGTTTCCTTACAATATATGCGTAAGAATGATAATATGTAGTACCGGTTTATGAATGATTGACATTCTTTTTCGCAAGTATGCGAGTTTATGACAAAAAAAAATAAGTCTATTGTTTTTGTTTTCATTACAAACATTCAAAAATTCAAACATTCACTTCATGAAGAAAAAAAATACGATTGTCATCTAAACATGGAAAGTTTTACAAGGGAACCTTTTAGCTAATGAAAATAAAGGAGGGACAGCTTATCCTATAAAATTTCATTATTTTTTTCGGGTGAAACGAAAAAGAATTAAAAAAGGGAGACAAGTTGATTGACCAATTTAGTAATTATGGGAGGGGGAAAAAGGGAATGTGCGTATGTTACTTAAGTATGTTAAGTACGCATTCGATCTTTACAGTTTAGAGAACGCATTTTACAAACAATATGTGATGTTTATAGATAATGATTATACTGTATATGTGGAATAATAAAAGTTTTTTTGATAAATATTTTTATAATGTTTTATTGTATTTTTATTGTATTTTTATTGTATTTTTATTGTATTTTTATTGTATTTTTATTATATTTTATTATATTTTTATTATATTTTATTATGTTTTTATTATGTTTTATAACGATAATAACAATAATGCGTTTTTTATATCAATATTCTTTTGAGAAGTAAATTTATTTATTTACATATATTTATGGGTAAATTTCAAAGTATTTCATGTTATTACATGTTATTTCATGTCTTTAGTCTAATAAACTTTATGCAGAGAAATTTTTAAACGTAATATGTAGATCATATATGCTTTGCCCATTAGCAAATGACGGCAACGCCCGAGTAAATCGGATCGTTTCCCCCCAATTTAGGAGTATTTATCGTCATCTATTTAAACAGAAGAGTAACTTGGTAACTTTCATTTGTTTTACAACATGAAGCGTGACAAAAAGTAAGCCGTAATGCATTGAGAAAATCCAAAAACTTTGACCAATCTTTTTAATTTCATTACATAATATATATCTGATATAAACGTTAATAAAATCACGTGAATGTTCAGAGTATTACGTTATTCTTTTTTTTTTCGTGATTAGACTACTTCAGACGCGTAAATAAACGGTTTGATAATTGCTAAGATTTTTTTTTTTTATTTGTTTTTTTACATTGTTTGCAAATCTCAAAAATAATAATCATATTTTCCTTATTTTTCCTTATTTTCTTTATTTTCAATATTTTCAATGTAAATATTTATTTATCAAAATGCAGGGGGAGTGGGGGAAAAACTCAATTCAATTCATTATAGCTACTATAACCACTTTATTCAATTCATTAGTTACTTTAGTTATTTCGATTCATTTCTTTAGTTACTTTGATTCATTTCATTTCTTTAGTTACTTTGATTCATTTCATTCCAATTCACTTCATTCTCATTTCAATTACATTTCATTCCAATTCACTTCACTTCACTTCACTTCACTTCATCCAGTTCACTTCATTATCATTTCAATTACATTTCATTCTATTTCAATTCATTCTATTTTTATTTCATTTCACTTCATTTCATTTGAAAAAAAAAACATTTCAAAGACTGATACACGGTTAAAGTTGTATATATATATTTTTTTTCGTTTTGATATTAAGTATTAAGTATTAGTAACAAGGTAAAAAAAAAAAGATTATGACTACAGAAATAAAAAAAAATCTTCGTTTTTTTTGTTTGTGATTTTAATTAATATAAACAATCTCGTCCAGCATCATTTGCAAATTATTACAATGTATAAAAAAAAAAAATGTATTTGAGTGTAATGAATGATGTTGGTATTTGTGATGATTTGGTATATTGATATATATATATTTTTTTTTTCTATTTTTTTTAACGCGCTTAATCATAATTCTCTTTGAACGAATGTTATTAAATCGAAGTCGTTAAGAGAGAAAAACGCGAAAAAAAGAAAAAAAAAAAATCAAACATGCAAAAATACTATCGAAAAAAGGTGTGAAAAAAAAAAAAAAAAAGAAAAAAAAAACGAGAAACTAAATGAGAACTAATATGAAAAAAGTATATATGAAACTAAAAAGATATATATATATAAAACTAAGACTAATTTAAGTATGTAATTGTATATAAAAGAAAAAAATATATATATATTCAGATTTACGCCAAAGAAATGAAATGAATTTTTTTTTGTAAGCCAGAGAAAAAAAAAAAGATTAAGAAAAAACTAGTATTTGGCAATTTGTACATCGGTACTATATTTACCAAGAGAGAAAAAAAAAGTACAAGAAAAAAAAAAAAGAAAGCAAACATAAAAACTTTAAAGTTTTAAAAGTCATAGGTAAGGACTCACATAAACTAAATTATATATGAAGCTCATATATAAACCATAAAAACCCTAATTAAATCCTATTAAGCTATATACTATATATTTTATGTAAGAGAATTACTGTACAGGTGATTATAAATTTTTTTTTTGTTTTTTTTTTTCTTTTTTATTTTTTGATTAAGACAAGTTTTTCTTCGTTCACGTCTACTCTTAAACAAAAGAAGAATGAGCCACCGCTGTATTGGTATCTGTTGGATGTGTTGACATTTGGGGTTGGTAAATTTGATGTGTACCGTACCCACTAAAAGCGGTAGTGTTATGTCCGTCCACATGAGCAGTAGCAGTAGGATGACCATGAATGTTCGTATAATCAGTAATGTCATAGTTTGCTACAGCAAGATTACCGATGCCAGCACCGGCATAAGACATTGTTTGTTGTTGTGTATTAGTGATACCGGCACCTCCTCCAAGACCTTGTGCTGGAAGGTAAGGTTGTCCCATGGTTGCATGAGTGTAGCGAGGTGAACGCATTGGTCGGTATGGCATACTAGGCATACCACTATATTGGCCTACATCAAAGTAAGAACGACTCATTTCAGTCACTGCGGTCATTGGTTCTCGGTATCTACGATTGTCATATGGCCATGATGATTCAGGACGATGATAAGGAGTTGGGTCACTTGAAGATCTATTATTTCGACTTCGAGAACGATGCTGTTGTTCAGCTTCAGCGGCTCGAAAATCTACAGTCCAGTATGATCCTTTACCTGGTTCATTAATTGGACGTGGAACACGGACAAAAGTCTTATTCAAAGATAAATTGTGTCTAATTGAATTCTATATATTTTATTATAATAATAAAGAAAAGAAATTAAAAGTTAATTATATTAATTAATTAATTAATTATAATTATAATTATAATTATAATTATAATTATAATTATAATTATAATTATAATTATAATTATAATTATAATTATAAAATAAAGTCACATGATCGAATTGATCGAATTGATTAAAAATTAAAAATTAACGCGTACCTTCCAACCAGTACCTGCGGTCTTATAATAAGGATAATTTTCCATAACCCAGTTATAAATTTCATTTAATGTGAGTTGCTTGTTGGGAGAATTTGTAATCGCATAGGTGATTAAGGTAGCATAAGAATACGGGGGCTTCCCGGATACATGTGTTTCGATCACGAGATCTTGAGGATTTTTTGTTGGTGACGTGATCGGAGTAGTTGTAGCCGAAGATTTCCTCGTATTAGCAAAAGCATCAATAGATGTTGCAACTCCCGATGTTACGCTTGGAGACGAGTTATTGACCTGGTTTGAAGTTGATTCATTCTTTATAGAAGTTTGAGAATATTGACTACCGTTATAAGTGATAGAGTTATGAGAGCTCATCAAATTATTTCCAGGTCCCGAAACATGATTTCCAATAGGAGGTAGTTGCCGTTGATAATGTTGTGGAGATGTTTGTTGTTGATGATGCATCGGAGGAGCTTGTTGTTGAGATTGATGATGGTGATGGGTATGCTGTGGTGGATAAGAATAATTTCGATTGTTCATATTATTCATACGTAAATGCCAGTCGGTCGACATTCCAACTAAACTGGTAGCGGTGTTATCGAGTTCGGTCATAATATAACGATCTATACTAGTTGTAAGAGAAAACTATTTTGTGCAAAAAATAGATTAGATTTTTAGTATCTTTGTGAAAAAAAATTTTTTTAACGTGAGTGAAAAGAGTCACTGATTAAAAAAAAAAATTTAAATGTGGGAAAAAGAAATAAGGGGTACAGATCATACTGGGGTACAGATCATACTGGGTAACATCATACTGGGTAACCATGTAGGCATAAATGATTAGTGAGGTTATCAAATTATGATCAGAAACTAGTATGATCATCGTAAAAAAAACCGTAAAGAAATCGTGAAAAAAATTGAAAAAAACCTCCGTGACTAATGCTAATAAGGGTTAATGAAAGTTGTTGATTTTCTTATCGACTATTTTTGTATAAAAAAGTTATCTCGAAGAAAAAAAAAAACGAATCGTTTTTTTAAAAATTATATTTATCTAAAATATCTAAATAATATAATCTAATATTATCTAAATATTATATAACGCAATATATTGTTTTCCCTTTCCACTCACAAGATATGAAGATATGCGCGAGAAAAAAGACAAGATACGTTACCACTAACTGAACAAATGATTTTTTCGAGAACGAGTATCCTAATAAAGGTGAAAATAAAAGGAAAAAAAAAAAAGAGATATTTGGTTATTTTTTATTGTATGTATCAAAAAGACGTTTGTGTGTTTTTGTAAACTGATAACTGTTTAAACTGTTGCTGTTGATATATATATATATTTTTCTATTTCTATATCTAATATTTTTTATTTTTATTTATGTAAAGTTTTTAAAAAAAAACCGTTATTTATATATCATATGACAAAAGAAGAAGCGTACATACACTCTAAATTTGCCTCTTGTAGGAGATAGCAAGTTCAGGGAAAAGAACGATAAAATGAATATTGAATATTTATTTTGTTGACAAAAAAAACAGATTGGGTAGGCGATTTATTGAGTCTTTTATAAGTTTACCGGCCGCAAAGATTAATTGAATTGAAATGTACTTAAGGAGCTCATTTCAAAAAACAGATGGACGATTATGATTGACGACTGTTCCAGATTTTATACTTTAAATTTATGTATAATATATATAAAAAAATTAGAGAAGTACCACTATAAAATTTTTAATTGTAATAGTTATTAATAAAATATACTGTAAAATTTGTATTGATTTTAAATTTAAAGTAACGCATATATTTTGCATATATTGATATATTGTTATACTTTAGCATATATAAAAAAAATTTTTTTTTTTTATTTAAAAAAAAGGGTTATTACCGTATACTTGGGGATGATAAAAATGGTGACTCAATTATTGTTAATTATTGTTGAATACATTTTTTTTTTTTATTAGCATATATTAATATTTCGAAGCTAAATAATGATTGATCCGAAAATTCTTGATATAAATTATACGCATACGACACACTGTATATCTGATATATATTTTTTGTTAATTATGTTAATACTATAGTATTAAATATAGTGTTAACTATAGTATCAACTATAGTGTTAACTATAGTGTTAACTATATTATTAATTATGCCCGCACTTTTATTATAGTCGTACAATAATGACGGTTGGGTGTGTAGGGAAAAATAGCCTATATGTATATCGATATGGTAAAATAGCAGATACTTGGGGCGTCTTTATTATCACTAACGAATAAAATTTTACTTTATCACAAATTTTATCACTTTATTGTATACTTGAAAGTCTGGGAACTGAGGCACGAACGCGCGCACAAGATCCTAAATTTTCGCGCGAAATGTTCTTGATTTCCTGTTTTTATTATTAATTATATTAATTATATTACCCGAATCTATTATCTATTACCAAAAAATTTACTATATTATTCACCAATTATGCTTCGATAGAGGGATTTACCCTTGGTAAAGTTTATTCCGTGATATAGTGATATAGTGATATAACGATGTAACATAAGTAACATAAAGTTCTATTTTATCACTTTTATTTATCGCGTCATTCAAATTATTTATATTATTTTTTCGTTTATATTTCTTCAGTTATATGGTGACAAAATCTTTCTTGTTAAATCCCTACACAGTTTTATCTTTCTTCTCTGTCAAATTTACCGTCTCATGGTTATCGTCAGTTTAAAAAGAATTATGTAGTATAACAGTAATCTGTTTTACAAAAAGTAAAGAAAGCCACTTAATCGTTTTATTAAATAGATTCTTATAATACAAACCAATTTTGGGTCTTCGTGCTCACCATACGCTTACCGTTATCAGTTTATATTAATCTTGTGATAAATTCTTTGTGGGGTTGACTAGTAAAAAAAAAATAAGGTCACTTTTTAACTTTGGGTTTTAGTATACTGTATCAGATATCATAGATGAATAAATATGTACGTAAAAACGTAGATCGAATGTACGGGTACTCTAGCGGTAGCTGCTAGTTTTTTTTTTTTTTTTAAATTTTATTAAACCATGTAATTAATGTAATTCATGTAATTCATGTAATTTATGTAATTTGATTTTAACCTATAAAAAAATCTGAATAGAAAATTACTGCGGACAGGGATAAAAAAAAGTCTCCGCGTTTTTATCGTCATTTTATTTATTTATTATTATTATTATTTTTATTTTTATTTTTTTTTAGATTCAAAACAAAATATCACAATAATTTCCTTTTGATAAATTACAGATGCTTTGGGACTTGAATGTTAATTTGTGTGGAACTTATTTATAACTTTACTAAATATAATAAATTTGAATCTTACATATTTGTTATCAAATAAATGATATCAATATCAGGATGACATATACTTTTTACTTTACATGCATTTTATTTCGTTTGAATTATTGTAATAATATATAGTATGATAGTAGTATGATATACAGTTATTAATGATATCAATCTTCGTAATCACTTTTTTATTATTGAGTCTAAATTTCCTTTTGGTGACTGGTTTATCATATGATCTGTATGAATTAAGGTTTGCATCTTAATAGGAAAGTGATATATTTACGTACGTACGTGAATTTTTGTTATTATTAACGTTTACAGTAATTTATGATAAAAGTCACTTTATTACTCTTTATTATAGTGAATGCGCGGATTTACCTTGTCGAAAGAATGCATGAAAATAATTCACAACGTTGTGGAATCCTTAGTTTATCCTAGGTTGGTTATAATTACGTGCTTGCAGAAATTTTCTGTGTACAAAAAATGCAGGACAAAAAAAAAAGAAGACTTGTTCTATGAAATTATGTTATTCTCAATTATTCTCAATTATTCTCAATTATTCTCAATCATTAAACATGCACTTTACTGCTTAAATCCGGTGACAATGGATAAAACCTTAAATAATTTTATTCCTTTTTTTTTTTTTTTTTTTTATATTCATTTTTACTATTGAATTTTTATTATTGAATTTTTACTATTGAACGTTCTAGTCTGATCGATTTCAATATTAATATTGATAAAATGATATTGATAAATGATTCATTTTTTGCGTGACCTTTCAACATCAATAAACACCAATAAACTTGCGTTTCTTTGCCTAAGTCTACCTAAAATAATTTTATAACTAATATGGGGCCAGTCATGCAATGAGGTCAACTACAAATGTAAAAAGAAAGGACGAAACAGAATAAAGTAGAACTGATCGGATAATTTTACACCGATAATTGGTAATTTATACGACTTCAAATATTTCAAATTCTTTTTTTTTTTTTAAAAAAAAAAAAAAGGTCTATGAAACAAAAACAATCCTCCGGTTTCCGAGGTTGAGGCGTAAGATAGGATTGGAACATTCTGTATCCATCATACAGTCATACTCACATCACTCACGTTTTTGTGACACGAAAATCTGGAAAAAAAGTTTCGATTTTTTGGAAATGTGGTCAATTTTCTTTGTTTCAGTATTATTAATATCATAATTAAAGATTTCTTATTTGGCGCAGTTAGGTCTTAATATGACTCATAAACAAAAAGTGCGTCTAAGGTCAAAAACTATAAGTTACTGCCTTCCCTGTCAGTCAATTTTGACATTAATTAATAATTACTTTATAGTGTATATACTGTAGTAATATTTTATAGTAAACATAATATATATTTTTAATACAGTGCAGCAGTGATAGGGCTATGAAGCGCTAAATGCTTGTTTTTTTATTTACTTACTAGAGTAGATTACTAAATTATTAGAGTAAATTATTAAAGTAATTTACTAAATTACTAGAGTAAATACTAAAGTAAATTACTAGAGTAAATACTAGAGTAAATTACTAGAGTAAATACTAGAGTAAATTACTAGAGTAAATAATTTACCAGAATAAATATCATATATATAAAAAATTTTTAAAGATACTATATTACAGCACAAACTACGTAAAGATTACTTTTTAATAAGATTTTTTTTTTTATTAAGACTTTTTTTTCAGAATCTTCTAAATCCTATTTAGGCGTTTGATATGGGCGTTATAGTACGCGGGTAAATCTCGGGTCTTGCCGCCTCATAAATGTGGGGTCATAATCTAATTATTGACCAAAAAGTAAATCGTCCACGCGATAATAATTTATAATAATTGAATGCAACAATGTTAATTATGTTAATTAGTAAAAAAGTTCAATTAACATGTTAGCTATATAAAAAAAACGACTTTTTTTTGGAAATTAAGGTATGTTTTGGACCCTTTTATTTTATTAACTTTCTTAGGCTTTGTCACTCTCTCTTAGGCTTTGTCACTCTCTCTCAAACTTTGTCACTCTCTCTCAGACTTTGTCACTAAACTAACCAAACTAGCATGCTGGTATACTAGTAGCATGAACGAACTTTATTGTCACTCTAGAATCACGTGTATTAAAAGTACTGTTTTGATGAAATATTAAATATCGAAGCAGAAAAAACTGTAATATTTATGTTTACTATAGTAGTTTTACAGCAGTTTTACAATAGTTTTACACAGTAGTTCTACAGTAAATACTGTATAGTTCAAGAACGAAAATAAAGAAAGAGAGAGAGAAAAAAAAGGAAACAAAAAGTCATAATTGTATATAGTTAAAAACACTTTACGAATATAACCTATTAAGTTATGGTATATTTTCATATAATTAAACCCTTGTCGCGATATCATTTTAATTATCTTGGGTGTATCTTTTCATTCATCGAATCGACATATTACGCATATATTACGCATATATTACGCATATAATATGCATATTAAAAGTATTAGGGATTTGTGATTAATCAATGTGATTATATGTTGTAATAATTGTGATTAATTACCATTAATTACCGTAATAACTACTTAACTTTACTTGTCTCTATTTAACTCTAACTAATTTGAGTATCACTGATAACGATAACCCCCCAAGTTATATATTATTGCATTTAAAGGACAATTGTTGTAGATCTACAGGTATAGTTATAAATTTTTTTGTATATGATAAATAAATCAAGTAAACACGCGTGAATTAAACATATTAATAAATTTGATCTTAATGAACCAGTTGTGATTAAGGAGATATTCTGACTCCGACTAGCTTTATTCTGAGAATACAAATTAAATGCTCTAATAATGAATCGAAACCCAAAATGACAAGCAAACACGAGCTCTCGCCACGCCTAAAGATCAACAAAATAGCAACAAATTGATGATCTTTACTTACTTGAAGTTAGATTAACCACTCGCATAAAAAATTACATACTTTTTGTTATTTGAACTTATTAAAGTTCGTTCAATTCGTTCAATTTCGTTCAATATTTGGAAATCTGAAAAAAAAAACATTACTTGTATATAGACAATAATTCTTTTAAAAAAATTCATTGTGATAAAAACAATCACATTATAAATATTACAGTATACTTATGTACAGTATGTGTTATCGAAAGATAGAATTTCCTGCACTGGTTATATTTGTTTATTTTATTTTTTTTTGACGATAAAATTTATCTTTGCAGACAAACTTTTGATTTTGTTTGTTACTCCCATTAACTATCCGCATGTTTAAATGTTTTTTTTTTAAAAAAAAAGAAAAAAGTTAATTCCACACGAGAAAATTATAATCTCCGATCATACACTGAAACAAACACCTTGATTCGGTAAAAATTCGACTAATATCAATCTATTTTAGAAACAAATACTCAAGCGATCAATATTAACGATAATTTTGAAAACACATTTTTTTCTTTGCACTCTTTCTTTGTATATAAATTATAAATAATTATGATAATAATTATAATAATAATCATAATAAAAATAATAATACATGTAATAATAACGATAATAATAATAATAATAATAAATATATATTATTGATATTACATACAGAATTACTGATGGTATATGACCAATATCATGGCGTGCATCATTACCTTTGAAGGAGCTTAGGCTTTTTTCAAATCTCGCATTCTAACATACAAACTTGTTGACAATAAAGTTGGGACGTATGGGTGACCGATCCCATTTCCTATTTATGGATGATCTGCTCGTTTTTTTATCTAAAAAATTGCGCGAATGACCTATTATCTTGTAATGGAAAATGTTATTTATCATTAATTGCATTTTTTTTTTTTATTATTTTTTTTTTTTAACTGGTAAATTATTACGGTAATGATTGAATTTATCTTACAATAAAAATTTAAAATCCTGTTCGAAATCATGAATTCCATCAATTAATTTCTTGTGATTTTGGTAGAGGTTTTCTAATATTAGTAACAATTTAATATTAGTATATGACAATACCAGGTATGTTAATAATTTTCAATAATATTACTTACGTAGTATAGTAATATTAATGATGGGTTATAAATAAATATATATATATCCCCAAATTAGAACACAAACCGTGAATATGAAATTTTTTGTGAGTAAATTTAATCTAACAAAAGAATTTGTACAATCGATTTGGAAAAAAAATTGGGCCGACTAAATTAACCCTATTATATTACATTTACAGTAGCTAATTAATTATTTACAGTAAACGGGGTCCAAGAATTTAGGGTTGTTTGTGTGTAAAAAAAAAAAAAAATTATTACCTTTATAACAGTATGACTAACAGTATAACAGTATAACAGTATAGCAGTATAACAAGTATAACAGTATAACAGTATAAAAAGTATAGTAGTTACAGATATCAATTACTATCAATTACTATCAATTAATGTAAGTAAGAGAACAACAGAGATCTTTATAAAAATTTCTTATAGGACTAAAATAACGCAAATAATACCATCGCCATAACATGGCTGTTATAATAAGCCATTCGTGAGGCACATTCCATGCTCTAAGCAAAACATTGTATGATATTACTGATATTACTGATATTATGCTAAGCCACCCCAACATTTGAGTATGTTTGTAAATATTTCTATGGCTTAACTTTCATATTTGCTGGCTTGTTAACTTTGAAAGATGATGCGTACGTACAGTACATACGTGCGTACCGGTACGTGTAAATGACTATATCTGATATTGTATATAAAAAAAAATATTCGTGTCTAATCACTCACTTTGTATACACGTAATTCATTATATGCATGTATGTAGATCGGTCCAAATTTTATTATATTTGTATCATTAAATGCGGGAGAGAGGAATAATGAGAATGTTGAACATAAATTAACTTTAAAAAAAAATTCGCATACGATACGAAATTCGAAGGTTGCTTCCATTACATAAATGATGATAAAATGGAATGATAATCTTTTATTACTGTATTATATACAGTATCTCAAGGAGAACAAGATGGAAAAAAAAAAAAAAAAAAAGAGATGAAGAAGTAAACGTGTTCGCACGTACATTTAAAAGATATCAGATATTACTGAAAATGAGTCATGGAATGTTATACTGAAATATTTTTTTCTCTCAAAAATTCTGGAACTTTATGCGTTGTAATTTTATAATTTGCAGGGATAAAGATTTTTTTTAAAATAAATATCACAAGATTATCGCATAATTCATACATACAGTATATGCATCAAATTTATTTACATTTGTGACTTGTATGCTTGTATGTACATACAGACATACGAACATAAATCCCTATCACAAAAAAAAATATCTTAACAGTTATATAACAAGCAAGCGAAGGAATAGAAACAAAATAGTTAATAATTCTACCTCAGCCATGCGATAAGGTTGTACTCGTTGGGTACAATTAACACAAAGGAATTTCAAGAGTAACATTAACATGAATCTTATACGCTATATACGGAGAAACTCTTTCAAAACAAAGACTATAAGTATCAGTTTCGATATTACATTTACAGTATCTACAATAACAAAAATGTTATCAATATTATCAATATTATCAATATTATTAATATTATTGATACTATCATTATTGTCATTGAATTGGTTCATTAACGTTAATTATCCGAATATGTGTTTCAAAAAATACATAACAGATAATAATATTCCGCCAGTAATACGTAATAAGTTACGTATAAGTTACGTATGCAATGACATCTTTCCATTTTTTACATTTTTTTCGCGGGAAAAACTTGAATTGGTGGAATTATAAAAATTGAACTCCTTTGTTCTCTCCGGCTCGTTATTTAAAAGGAAGGGATTTGTTAACCGAATTTATCAAGATCATGAAACTTATTATCCAGACAATCCAGACAATTCTCTCACCCCATAAATTTTTTGATAAATTTGTTAAAAATTTTCATTAATTAGTATTTTTGTGACATGTAAATCAAGGTAAGAATCAGGAGAAAATTAAAAAGTAAATTAATGAGTAAATTAATGACTAAAGTAATGACAAAGTAATGACAAAGTAATGATGACTAAAGTTGAGAAATTAAAATATCAATAACGATAATTGTTTGTAGAAGTTTCTTAAGAATTCATTTCACTTTTGTAACTCATCACAAAATCATTTCTTTTTGCTGACCAATTCTATTAATTTACAATATACAGTTTGTTTGTAATTGCATGCTGCTGTACTGTATAAAAAAGTAAGTCACTTCTTTTTACTGACCATTATTATTTAATAATATATAAATATATTTTAACATTACTTGAGTTACTTGAAATACTTGAAACAAATTTATCGAAATTTTTTACCTTTTTGATCGGAAGAATTTATGACAAGCTTAGTCGATCCAATAATTAAAATCGTAAAACTTTATTGCACCAACTAATGATAACCAACCGATAATGAGAATGATAAACATAAATACTTCAGAAAATTTAATTTAATGATGATGATCAAAATAAATATAAAGTGAAAATCGTCCAAGGAAAAAATACATGGATTTTCTAAATATTAAATGTATCTTAATGAATTCACGTTAATTGGTTTGTTTGCTTACACAGGAAGATTATCATAATGTCTGATAAAGTTTGGAGTAACTTTCCCGATTCGTTCAGGAACGACCAATAATCTGCTCTGCAGCATGATGTATGCTATGTCGGTTGTATTTAACGACATTATCCGAATGTTACTACTTTCAGTAGTGAAGTAATATAATTTACCAACCAAATGTATCTTGCTTTTCCCCTTCATAAAGAGAGGCGCCGTACCCGAGATTCATATTATATTATATATATATTTAAAATATTATTTAAGATATTATTTAAAATATTATTTAAAATATATTATTTAAGATATATTATTTAAGATATATTATTTAAGATATTGTTTAAAATATATTATTTAAGATATTATTTAAGATATATATTATTTAAAATATTATTTAAGATATATATTATTTAAAATATTATTTAAACTATTATTAAAATGTTATTTTAAAAAACTTCTTTTTTACTTACGAGAAATGCACTATTCATTGGTGCTTTTAATTAAGTTATATATATATATATATGTTGAATATCGTGTGTGCAACTCATATATACATTGGTGCTATGTAATGCGATAAAAAAAAAAAATATTTTCACTTTCTTTTTTTATCAACATATTTTTACGATGAAAATATTTATTCATTTTTTTAAGTTATTTTGCAGAATTCCCAAAAATTAATTTTCGAAATACAAGGATAAGTTTGAACTAACTGCGCCACACATATAAACAATAAATATTTGATAGACAATCCCATTTTTAATATAAACAAACTAATACACCGGGTATTAAAAACTAACCAAACAAATAAACAAATAATGACAAAATATCGAGTTTTTTTTTTTCAGTTCTGATATTAAAAAAGAAAAACAAAAACAAAAAATAAACACATGCAGGGTCTATTTTTCTTTCAAAACAAAGCTAGATAGAAAAAGATTTCTTTTTTAGTCCAGATGTTTTTTAGTATGTACAAAAATCGGTCATTTAAATGTCCATTGTTCTCTCATTTATAGCATTGATTTTGGAATAAACCTAAAGTCGATGGTTAAGTCATTTCTAATGATTAAATAAGATATGTTAGATATGTTCCGATTTATCTTGGTTTGTATGATACAATTAATGAAATGGATATATTAATGATATTAATGTTTACTATTATTATTATTATTGTTATTATTATTATTATTATTTGATACTTTTTAAGTGAATGTTTGATGAATAAGAATAAAACGACATAATTTTACCATAATATTATTGGTTAACTTATCGTAAGTAATGAGATAAAAGTTACTCTTTAAATTTATCAATTGGTCAAGTGAGTTGAATCCCCCCTTGAAGATCTTTGAAAGGATTTGTTTTTTTTCATTAAATTTATTTTTGGTGTATGTTACGAAAATCCCGCGGGAAAAAAAAATTGATGAAACGATAAAAAACCGATAAAAAATTCGTAATTTAAAATTAAATTAAATACTACGTAATAGCAGAACCAATTATGGAAACATTCTTTGATGCGTTATTTGAATTTTTTATTTTTTATTTTATTTTTTGTGATCGTTTTATATTTAATACGTAATTAATACGTAAAATAATACCCGTATATGCTTTTGTAAATGCCAAATTTTTTCTTCGGAAAATGTAATTTGTGCATAAATAAATGAAACTATCAAATTTCAACTATTTTTAATAATTTGACAATTTGTTAATTTGAATAACCTCAAATTTTGAATTTGTTTTATCAAATCATGGATTAAAAAATTTAATAAAAAATTTATTAAAAAATTTATTAAAAAAATTTAATAGAAAATTTAATAATAAAAAATTTAAGAGTATATTGCATAACTACTTAATACGTACGTATATACGTACGTATTACTTTTTACCTATCTGCTATCGTAATTTTGTAATTCCGAAATCAATTAAATCAATTGTTACATATATATGTAATGAACATAAATAAACATACTTTAATACTTTAATACTTTAAATTATTGAACATTAATTAATTCCATATATAGTAGCGTACTCTTCCTTTTTGGTTAAATAGGGGGTTAAAATACTTACTTGATTAAGATAAAGAAAATAATCGATTTTCCACTAATCCATTAAATGAATAGACCTACACAAAGGCCCAATTTTTGATTTTTTTTTTACCCCTTTATAAAGTTGTACCCTACGTTCTTCAAAGTATTGTATCACTAATCTAGGTATCTTTGTTTAGGTTGTACAGAAACCAAGTATGTCCTCATGTGACTTGACTGTGCTTGACTGTGTGGGACAATCACCTTCAGGTCTAGAATTTAAAACTATTTCCTATATTCGATAAATAAGAACTTATCAGAGTATGTCATAATTACACAACCTAGTAAAGAGATAAAGGGTAAAATTCATTTTGTGTCGCGTTATCTTTATAATTTCAAATAATTAAAAATAAAAAAATAAAATGATGATATAGAAATGATATAAAAGTATGAAATAGACTAGAGTAATTAGTTAACGAAATACGCGTGGGCATACGTGTTTTATTTTTTTGATCTACTATTTATATTTTATGATCCGCTTCGATATCTTTGCCACGTTTTTCTTTCTTGCTTATTTTCCTAAAAGAGTTTTTTTATCTGATGTGTAAATTCTATAAAGGATTTTAATTTGATTCGTGCTTGGAAACTGACCATGTGAAAGCTCATTTTGTTAATAATATTCCAAAAACGGTGTTCACATATAAAACTTCCCACAACCAGCAAAATTACCATTCTGATATTCTGATCGTTGTATGTTGTACTAATAAAAAGCCAATAAACAGCTAATAAAAAGCCAATAAAAAGCTAATAAAAAGGTGTGTAAAAGAAAATTCTTTGGTAACACTTCATTATGGAAAAGGGTTCCAAGGGATAACATAATAGGTTACATACGGTATTATCGCGTTGCAGATATAGGTATAGATCAAATTCGCACGACAAAAGATATCGAAAAGATACTGTATGTATCATATATGCATTCACTTACAAATCTACATACAAAGTCAATTATATACAATCTTATACAATCTTATACAATCTTATACAATCTTATACAATCTTATACAGTTATATACAAATCATTTCTCAATGCTCTTGTAATTTGTCATTTTCTGCAGGGGAATTGAATTTTTCTGAAACCTTTTCGTTTAACACGTACAGCAGTGATGTAAAGGTGAATGATGACTAGCTTTTTCAGGATATATTGGTTGAATGCATGTTAACTAACTGGTAATGACTAATAATTGACTAATAATTGACTAGTAATTTACTAGTAATTGACTAGTAATTTACTGGTAATTTACTAGTAATTTACTAGTAATTGACCGGTTATCGTGCATAGCTCTTCCGATATGTATTCATTGTAATGAAATCAATAAATTTTTTTTTTTTTCGTATTATTGTTTTCTTAAAATATACTAGTTTAGATCTGTTATCTTTCGTTTTTTTTTTTTTTTTACTCTCCCAATATTCCCAATATTCCCAAATATTTACTAATATCACGACATATTCGTTTTTTCTTTGCTTGTTGAGTGCATACCAACAAATATTCAGAATAGAAACATCGTGAGCTCAAGTTTACATATTTATGAATCAACATATGCACAAAAAAAATACCCCGACCACAAACTGACCTATTACGGAACCTCATTTAAAAATTTATATCCCAAACGTCAAAACATAAATCCATTTTCCAAATAAAAGCAAATATATCAAAACTCATCAAAATAAAATATACACAAAATAACTCAAATACGTTTATTAAGCAAATAAAAAATAACAATAAAAAACATCGTGCATACATGATCTTACAAAAAAAAAAAAAAAAAAAAAAAAACTTGAATTGCCAACAATAATAAAGTTCCAGAGAAAATTTATCGAAAAAAGGTTTTTCAAAAAAAAAAAAAAGAGTTCAAATACTATAAAAGGTACATTGTAATTAAATTTTTTATCAAATTGCCTTTCTCTTTTTACAATGTGTAATCTCATTCGTACCAAAGAATTTTAAATTCATTGATATTAAAGTTCTAATGTTTCACCAGGGTAAGTCATTCAACCGAGTTATAATTTTATAATTTTAAATGTTCGGTTTTTTTTTTTTGTAATTCTGCAAAGTTTAATACGCCATTTGTACTGTACTGTACTGTACAGTATATCAAATCATTTGTTCGTTTAAAAAATACGATGGTTGTACAATTTATGACGCCTTTATTATTAAGACTTTTTGAGAGCCAAGAATCGGATTTTGAGAATTCGTGTAACCAAGAGCGGATTAAAGTTAATGACCAGTTCAGAGTTCGTACTCGATACTCGAATGATTAAAAAGTGATAAAAAAGGGTCACCTGTTAAATTCATGGGTTACACCATTAAAAAATCTTCCCGCCAATTTTTAAAAAAGCATGTAGATATTTCGAAAATTCTTTATACATGTTTGTTTTTTGTCCTTTTATCATGCTTCTGTTCGGTGTTACTAGATGCATGATAAGAAAATGATAAGAAAATGATAAGAGATAAAAAACTGTCATATTAATTCGTGGTACAAATAATTAACAAAACTAGTACGATTGTGATATTATCCATCATTCCTTAGTAGCACTATATTTGATCGGCTTAAACCGGATCTAGTTTTGATTGGTTTTAATTATATTACATCTTTTTTGGAATTCCAGATTTCCGCGGAGATGAAAATTTTGTAGCTATGAAACTGTCTGGACTTTTTTTCTCATACTGTTTGTTATTTTTTATACTACATGTTTTAGATACATATTGATGATACACACGAAATTCAATTTAATCCTGTTGGTTTTAAAAACCTGTGTTCGAATTAACTTACTATTGCCACCATTGTTACAATGATATCATACACTTAATCCATCTAGAAGTTATTCCAATTTGTTTTCACGCGACGTTATCTTTTATACAATAGAATGGCCATTGATTGATATTACTTATCGTATTACTTATCATATTACTTATCATATCATTTATCATATTATTTATCATATTACTTATCATATATTACTTACCATATTTAATCACATTAACTACATTAACTATATTAATTGTAACATCATATCTAATGTTTAACAAAACCTTAATTGAAGTCATCAGTCTTTCGCGCGTATGAAATCTCTTATCAAATGATGAAAAAATGATGAAATGCATTTAGATTTTTGCTGACAAATTCCTATCAAAGTAATTATTAGATTAGATAAAAAA